CTAGCACCTTGTTACTCACAAGGGTTTGCTGAGATGCAGAATCTATGACAAAGTTGCACTTTTGGTCATCCAGCTTCCTTGTCACGTAGACACTATGTGTGCTTGTCATTTTACACTTATTTTTTGGGACTTTCACGGTGGGCGTTGGTGGGCGTCCCTCAACAACAACCACTACTGGTTTCCTTGAGGCTGACTTATTGGTAGTATTCCTCTTACACTGGCTCTTAATAAATCCTTGTTCTCCACAGTTCTAACAACCTTTCTGGGTAGCAGCCTTTCTTTCTGTGGCATCTTCCCTGCGTTGAAGTTGCCGGCATTGAGCTCTCTTGTGCTTAGGTTTCTTACAGTGCCAGCAAAGTCTCCCAAACCTCTCTCTGAAAGCTGACCTTTTCTGGCCTTGAATCCTGGTGACTGCACCAACCTTGGTACTTCTGCACTGGATTTAACGTATGATTCGAATTCAAGAGCTATGGTCATTGCATCCTGCATAGTAGAGGGGTGTGCTTGCTTTACTTGTATCTTCAGTTGTGGACTGTCCAAGACATCTTCAAACTGATCCCTCAGCAACAGCTTGAGGACATCGGGTGGTGCAGTTGATTATGCCTTGTGTGCCATACTTTCCAAATCTTGTGCCAGCTCTTGCAGGCTCTCCCCTTTAGCATGGACGCTAGTCCTAAACCTAGCCCTGTAGACTTCGTGCTGATTTTGAGTTCCATACCTGATTTCTAGAGCAGCTACCAGTGCTCTATAGTTGTGCCTATTGTCTACTGACAATTGTCCAAGTATTTCCAGTGGTTGTCCTTTCAGGCTCGTTCCCAGGTACACTGCTTTCTGCTCCTCTGTCCATCCATTCATTTCTGTCAGCAGCTCAAATTGTGCTCTATATGCTTCCCATCGAATTCCTGTGGCTTCCTTCGTACTAGATCACCGCTATTGCTGCCACTGATGTCTAGAATGTGACTTCTGGCAGGACTGAAGATGTCTGCATTAGGGTTTAGCTGCAGGGTTTAGAAGGGCTTTTCTGTTGTCTGGGGCTGATTAGGTCCATGGTTAATATATCATTCCTGTGTAAAAGACAGTAAATCATCCTTTAATGTATTTAATTC